TAGTAGTAGTAGTAGTAGTAGTCGTAGTAGTCGTAGAAGTCGTAGTAGTAGTAGTAGTAGTAGTAGTAGTCGTAGTAGTAGTAGTAGTCGTTGTAGTCGTAGTAGTATTAGTAGTAGTCGTTGTAGTCGTAGTCGTAGTCGTAGTCGTACTCGTAGTAGTAGTAGTAGTAGTAGTAGTAGTAGTAGTAGTAGTAGTAGTCGTCGTAGTAATAACAGCAGCGCTCTTGTATACTTTTGCTTTTGTTATCTGTATAATAGCCTAGCAGCGTGGCACTTTTTCGATGCGTTCCCAGACGCCGCCGGCGGACGCCGCCGGCGCGAATCGTGACGTTACCGGGGGGGGGAGGGGGGGGGGGCGCCGCCGGTAACGGGCGTTATCGCGAATAATAAAAACAACGGTCTCCAATTGAGCGGGCGAGCTCTGGGGGGAAGTGAGAAAGGGCCAGCCTTCTCAGAAGGCTCGGAAGCCCCCCGGCCTTCTGAGAAACTCTCTGGGCCTTCCCCCAAGACAATGCAAACCTTTCAGAAGGCCAGAGGGCTTCTGAGAAGCCCCGCCGCCTGAGACGGCCTTCTCCTTCTCACTTCCCCCCCTCGCTCGCCGCCGCTTGTTTGGACCCTCTCGGTGCTGCCCGCGCCTCCGGTGGGGGGGGGTGGCGCGCAGAGGGGGGGTGGCGGGGGCGGCGCGTCGTCGTCGTTTTGACGTCTGTTGAGCGGGAGCGAAATTCGGGGTTTGCGACCACGCTTGGTGGCCAGCGCCTGACAGGCCGCACACCTTCGTGTAGGCTCCTCGCCGCGGGCGTCGGTCCCCACTCCTGTGCGGGGGGAGAGGGCAGCACACAATACCTTCAGCTGTCCGCAGCGATGACGATGATGAGAGTGCCGTCGAAACTGACGATAGTCGGCGGCGAGCGAGGGGGGGAAGTGAGAGGGAGAAGGTCTTCTCTGAAGGCGGCGGGGCTTCTCGGAAGCTTTCGCGCCTTCTGAGAGGTCTGCTTTTGTCTTCGGGGAGAAGGCTTGGCAAACTCTTCGGAATGCCAGGGCCCGCCCCTTCTCACTTCCCCCCTTTGGGCTGGCCGCGGAGGAAGGAGGACGTACGCGCACGTGGAGTCCACGCTGGTTTCGAAAGCACGCGCTGCGCGAGCGTTCGTGACACGAGGCTGGCCTCGTGGACAGGGGAGCCGTGTTCGTGTGCGTGGCTGGGTTTGTGGGCTCTCATACAGGAGACCCGTGCCAAGGAACACCCTGCTTGCCTCCAGGGTGCACTGGATTTCTTGGGTGTCGATGCTTTTGCCATGGGAAGCGTGAAGTTCTCACACCAAAATCCAATGAACATCCTGGGGGCTCAGGGTTGGGATCCTTGTGGAAGGTTCCTTGTGGTCGGGCCTCCACTGCAGGTGGTGCGGGATCTGGAGGTCCTCGTCGCGACGGCTCGGCGCAGCTCGAAAGGCCGGCCTGAGTAGACCCGGGGGGGGGGCCTTTTTGAGCGGGCCGAGGGCGGATGCGGCGTACCCTTCTGAGGAGGCAGGGTGCTTCTTAGGACCAGGGCTCGGAGGCCTCTGAGAAGGCCTCTCCAATGGCGGGATGGCTTCTGTAAGGGGCCCCCCAGCCTTCTCGGTGGGAGGAGGTGGAGGAAGGAGACGGGGGGAGGAAATAGGAGGAGGAGGAGGAGGAGGAGGAGGAGGAGGAGGAGGAGGAGGAGGAGACGGAGGAGGAGGGGGAGGAGGAGAAGGAGGAGGAGGGGGAGGAGGAGGGTGAGGCGTAGGGTGCAGTTGAGTATCATGGGAAGGAGTCTTGGAGGGGGAACGGTATGCGTGTGAGTGTGAGTGTGTGTGTGTGTGTGTGTGTGGACGTGTGCGTGTGCGTGTGCCTGTACCTGTGCTTGTGCGTGCGTGTGTGTGTGTGTGTGTTTGTGTGTGTGTGTGTGTGTGTGTGTGTTTGTGTGCGTGTGTGTCTGTGTGTATGTGTGTGTGTATGTGTGTGTATGTGTGTGTTTTTCAGGGACGGATGTGGAGATGGACTTGGGACGGGGAGATGTAGGAGCTGGCCATACGGGGTTGGTTGGGCTTGAAAGTGAGCGTGATTAGTTTGCCGTGTCTCTGGGCAAGGTTTAGTTCGTCGTGGGCCGTGGAGGCCTGATACCTGAGTCGGCCAGTGAAAGGCCATATGAGGTGTTACAGAGGCCATCAGCCAGCCACCATATCCCGAAACCTTACTTCACTGGTGTGCCTCTGTTCTGAAAAAGCGACGAGCACCCGAGTCTCCTGGCGGCTCTCTGGGAATATGTACGTGGAGCGTTCTATCGTGTACCCCGCAGCACATACTGTATGCGCCGCCTGATTGTCACAGTAATCCACTTGTTGGGGCAGATCGCCAGCGTGATCAAGTCATATTTTCGAGATTTCAGTTTCAATGTTGCTCGGGATTGCTCGGACTTGTTGTTTTTTTTCCCCGGCGAGGGCCATCTAAGAACATCCTGGATCATTTTGCGGAACAGCGCGCCACACCGAAAGATGCACGGGGATTGGACGTCCGAGCGATAGCGAGTTTGCTGTTCGGAGTTTTTATGGGTCATCTGGTGTGTTCTGACTACGCGCGAAACAGTGGTTCCGACCCCAGGGGAGACTTCCCCGAACAATCAAGGCGGCGCTGGCCATTGAATCAGCGTATCCATCCTGCCAAGACGGCGCACTACATCCCGAAAGCAGTCCGAGACGTCCAGACAAGGCAAGACCTGACCAGACACGATAGGACAAGACGCGGCATCAGGAGCCCAAACCGGACAGTACACGGAAAGACGGCCTCCGAGTCAGCTGAAGGTTGCCTCAAGATGCCCCCCAAAACGCTTCGCCGCGCTGTCAACTCTTTCGAACACCTGAGCCGTTTTGCTCCCATTCAGCTTGCTGGCCGTTCTGCTTCCGAAGTCGTCCCCCGAGGTCTCGAAACATGGCCTCCAGAGGATTCCAAGCTGGCCTTACGTCGGCAATGTCCCTCTTCAGGAGGAATCCTCAAACATAGTCATAATATAGTCTGGGAACGATGTTTCGACTATTTTCGACTATGTTTGAATATTCTTGTCTATTTTTCGCCTGTCGGAGGACATGCCCGACCTAAAACTCGCCCCAACACGGGCCCACGAGCCGCCCAAGAAGCTCAGTCTTACCAGTGTATTCGAAAGCATCGGGAGCATTGTCTTATCGCTTCGAGAGGCCTCATATTGGTCTTCTACTCCTAGCTGTGACCAAACAACTAATCTCTCTCTGCATCCGTTTGTGCTACATCGAATTCTGTCGATTTAGGAAATCCCGAGGTTGGGAGCAGCTACAGGGGCCTCCAAGATGCTCCAAGAGAGGCCCACAGGGGGCCCAAATGGGGCCCCACGCCCGGCGAGATAGTTCGAAAAGCCGACAACGCCACGCGTCCGTGGGCCCGGGAGGGCCTCCGAGACGACACCCATACAGTCAACCCGCATAGTGAGGATGGGCAAGTCTCCCAGGGGTGCCCCTGCATCCCTGCCTCCTCGGTCCATCCTTGGCCGCTTTCGCTGGCCGCGGCCCGCTCGAAGAGCGTCGACATGGCCTTCCAGGGCCCTGGCATCCTTGCCGTGCATCCTTCTGGTACGGGTCGACGGTAGGCTCCTGGAGGCGCCAAGAGGCTCCGCAGAAGGCACCCGCGAGCCTCCCAGCAGGCGTCCTGGATGTCCTCGCGCGATCCCCACGAGGCCGCCCAGACCGGGTCAGTAGTGCCCCTCGGGCGCCACCCGTCGCTCGTGCCCCCACAAGACCCCACGGGCCCCAGGGGGGCCCCCAACGGGCGCAGGGCAAGCTTTGGGACCGCGCTCAGGCTCGAGGCGGATCGATCTCGGCCGGCTGGAAGGCATATCGTGGCTGCACCCCATTTTCCGACCACAATGCAATCCCCAAGTTTTTTTCGACCACACGACGCGTATACGCATTCACAGTGGGCCAAGAGTATATTGATGCCCAGCTCCGTCCACGATGGCACTGTTCAGTGTGGCCATCACACGTAGATGCACACACGTAAGGCTTCGTTAGGGGAAGGGGAAGTCTTTCAGTATGGAGTAGGGGGAGGGGGCAACCCCCGCCCCGACGTGGCAGAAGGGGTCTGCACAAGGAAACGCTCTAAACCACCAATTCCCAGACTTGTGGGATTCGACCCGGGATGGTGGGTTGGCTTCGAACGAGTCGCTGGGCATGGCCCCCCCAGCGATGACGAAGGGGCGCCGGGCGGGCACGCTCGCGGGGACCAGGGCTCGGGCCCCAGCGCACCTCGCGACGGAGAGAGAACGGAGCGGCAGACGCACAACCGTTTGGAGCTCCTGCAGCTTCTGTTTCTGCTGTTTTTTGTGCCCTTCGCTTCGTGGCCCATCCCCCGCGCCAGGCGCCGCGGCGGAGCTCGCGCTGGGCCCGCCCTCTGTGCCGGACATCGCAGCCGAGGCCGCGCCGCAGTCGCTCCATCTGGCGGTGGGCGCTGAGGCCTCGTCGGGCTCCGAGGCTGTGTCGGGCTCGACCTCCCTGCACGCCGCGGCCGAGGCCGCGCCAGGCCCACCCTCGCTGCCCGACGCCGCAGCCGAGGCTGCGTCAGGCCCGTCCTCGCTGCTCGACAACGCGGCGGAGGCTGTGCCGAGCCCGCCCTCTGCGCCAGACGCCGCGGGTGAGGCCGCGCCGGGCTCGCCCTCGGCGCCAGGTTCCGCGGCCGAGGCTGCGCCAGGCTCGCCCGCTCTGCCGGACGCCGCGGCCGAGACTGCGCCAGGCGCGCTCGCTCTGCCCGACGCCGCGGCCGATGCTGCGCAGGGCGCGTCCGCTGTGCCCAACGCCATGGCCGAGGCTGCGCCAGGCTCGCCCGCTGTGCCCGACACCGCGGCCGCGGCTGCACCAGGCTCGCCCGCTCTGCCCGACGCCGCGGCCGAGGCTGCGCCGGGCGCGCCCGCTGTGCCCGACGCCACAGCCGATGCTGCGCCGGGCGCGCCCGCTGTGCCCAACGCCGTGGCCGAGGCTGCGCCAGGCTCGCCCGCTCTGCCCGACACCGCGGCCGAGGCTGCGCCGGGCTCTCCCGCTTTGCCCAACGCCGCTGCCGAGGCTGCCTTGTGTTTGCCCACCGCGCCAGAAGCCACGGCCGAGGCCTCACCAGGCTCGCCTGCGGCGCAAGACACCGCGGCTGAGGCTGCCTTGGGCTCGCCCTCGGCGCTTGACGCCGCGGCCGAGGCTGCGCAGGGCTCGCCTTCGGCGCTGGACGCCACGGCCGAGGCTGCGCCAGGCTCGCCCTCGACGCTGGAGGCCGCGGCCGAGGCTGCGCCAGGCTCGCCCTCGGCGCCAGACGCCGCGGCCGAGGCTGCGCTGGGTCCGCCCTTGGCGTCAGACGCCGCGGCCGAGGCTGCACCGGGATCGCTGCCCTCTGCGCTGGACGCCGCGGCTGAGGCCGTGCAGGGCTCGCCGTCGGCGCTGGCTGCCGCGGCCGAGGCCGTGCCCGCCGCCTCTGGCGGAGCCCAGCCCGTGGCGTTTTGCCCCCCGTCGCGGGGACTGGTGGCTGCGCCTGGCCGCGACCTCGGCAGCCGTCGGCCGCGGCGCCGGCCAGATCCGGCCCCGCCGGCCAGACGACGACGACGGCGACGACGACGACGACGACGCGGACGACGACGCGGACGACGACGACGACGACGACGCGGACGACGACGCGGACGACGACGCGGACGACGACGACAACGACGACGACGACGACGACGACGACGACGATGGCAGCGGCGGCGGCGGCGGATAGCGGCCTCGGAAAAGCATGCGGAGGGAGAGGAGGAGGGGGAAGGTGAAGAGGAGGAGGAGGAGGAGGAGGAGGAGGACCCAGCAGACGACGATGAGGAGGAGGAGGAGGAGGAGGAGGAGGAAGGGGAGGAGGAAGAGGAGCTGGAGGAAGAGAAGGAGGAGGACCAGTGTAAACCCAAGAGTCATCAACGATGTTGGAATAAGCCCTCCCTTCAAGCTCCCTCTTCATAAGCTCCTGTAACGGTTCATCTCCACTGATGGCATTGCTTCGTCGGAAGACAACTGTTTGAAGATCTTGAAGCAAGCCAAAACATTGGTTAGGGACTCCAACGCCACGGATCAACCTGATTGTTGCGTCTTGACGAGCCTGAATCGTGCCAGAACGCCATTCCTGGGACTTCAACACCGCGAGCCAACGTAAATGTTGCACCCGCATAATCCTGAATCTTTCCAGAACGCCATTGCTGGTGCGTTGATCAATGGAATCCGTCAAATTCTAGCATTTTTTTAGAATGAGTGCGCGCAGCGCTAAGGCGAGAGCCACATGTTGAAAAGGAAACGCCCTCAATCCGTGAAGCTCTTGCATTTTTCACAACAAATGTGCGCGGTGCTAAGGCGAGAGCCAAATGTTGAAAACGGGTCGCCCTCAATCCGTGAAGCTCTTGCAACTTTTTACAATGAATGTACGCAGCGCTGAGGCGAGAGCCACATCTTGAAAACGGGTCGCCTTCAATCTGTGAGACCTCTTGTCAAGTCTTAGGACGAATGTGTGCTGCGCCAAGGCGAGAATCACATTTTGAAACTCTGCCCGCCATCGGTGAAACTGTTACCAGCTTTCAAGCTTCAGGGTCATAAATTGTGAGGAAGTCTCAGGCGAAACGCCCGGCCCGCCCTACAAACTAGCTTCGGGGTGCGACAGTGAGAAGTTTTGTATAAGGAGAAGGAATGAGGGAGGGAGGGAGGCATGAGAGTGGGACGGGCTGGCTGTTTTGACAGTGGGACGCGGGGGCAGACGGGGATGGACGTGTCAGTGGCCAGTGGGGGAGGTGGGCGAGGGAGGAGTGGATGAGGCAGGGGGAGGGGAGTGGCAGAGGGGGTCGGCATGATTTGGGAGGGGGACGGGGGATTGGGGATCGAGGGCGTCAAAAAGGGAGTCCCATACAGGTTGGATAACGTCTTGGAATAATCAAGGCGCTGTTGTTTTAGTTGTTCGGCCTCCGCAGGCCCTCGCTGGGTCAGCAGCGACTGCTCGGGGTGCAGCACAAAACCTGCCCCAAAGGAAGGCTTGGGACTTTGGGGGGCCTCGTGTCGAACAAAGCGAGATATCGGGTGCCGGGGGGGAGGGCTAGGCCAGAGTGGATGTCATGGCCGAGGTCACGAACCTCCCCGATCCCATCATTGGCCCCCGCTTTTCTTCTCGGCACGGCCCCGGGCCCCCCCCCTTCGCCCACGCACGCGCCTCGGGCCACGAGGCGCGAACCCCCCGTCGCTCTGCCGCGCATCCGAGATGGCTTCCAGAGGCCCACAGTGGCGAAGCAGGTCGTCAAGCAGTGACGAAGCGTCCTGGCGTGCCTATAGGCCTACCAAACAACGTTCTGAGAACCGAACCTTTTTGTGGTTTCCACGAAATGTTCCTAGAACACTTCTGGCTGGGACTGTCTTGTTTAAACACATCGGGTTTATATTCCAAGAACCTTGTTTTTGTTATTCGGATATTTTGGGTTCTAAGAACATGTCGTGGTAGGCCTATAGAAATGCCGGGACGGTCGGTCCCGGTTCAAGGTGGCAGCCTCGCTTCTTTTCGGGGCGCGGGACGTCCAGGGACCGTCGGCCATGAGTCGGTATCGTTTATCCGATCCCCATCCCCATCCCCATCACCTTCGAGACCCCCACCAAATTACCCCCCCCCAGTTGGGGACACACCCCTCGAAACCCGAAGGGAGAGACGTCGTCACCACTGGCCATCGGGCGCTCGCATCTTAGCCTGGGCGGCCCTGCGCGTGCGCACCCCGAGCGGACGGGGTCGGACAACAGGGGGGGGGACAGGGACAGTCAGGAGGGGAAGCAAAAACACACAGGACACAACTCATCGTCGACTCCCTAGAAAATACAGGAACATATGGGAAGTGGGAGGGAGACAAAAACCCAGAAAATATAGGAAAATATGGGGAATCCTGTTGTTTGTGTTTATTCATTTGTGTGTCCCAGGGCCCCTTCAGAAAAGGGGGGAGGTACGAAATCTGCTGCATGCAGCTGGTTTCGGCCCCACCGCCAGGCGCTTTCCTGGATACACTGGCGCCTCCAGCGCTGGGAGGCGCCGGGGCCTGTTCTTCTAAGACCCCGGCAGGTTTACTTGCATGGACGGGGGGAGGGGGGGCGTGAACCTGAAGCAAGCCGCAAACGACTTGCGCGTGCGGAAATCACGCAAGTCGAAAGGCACGTGAGGGGTCGGAATTGCCGTTGAGAAACAAGGTCCTGAACCAAGTCAATCCGCATACGTAGTAGGGATGGGCAGCCTTCCCGAGGGTGCCCCTTGCAACCCCGACCTTTCGGCCCATCCCCAGCGGCTTTCCTTGGCCGCGCCCCGCTCGAGGAGCTCCGAACAGGCCCTCCAAGGCCCTTGCATCCTTATCTCAGGAGGGAAAGGTTCACACAGTTTCAATGAATCGTCGACTCCCAGGAACATAAAGGAAAATATGGGAAGTGGGGGGGAAGACGAAAACCCTTGCATCCTTATCGCGCGTCCTTCTGATACAGAAACCATATGATTCTCGTCAGGGCATCCTGGGTTTCTTCGCTCCGCGAGCTGCGCGGTGACTTCCCGCGGCCGTTGAAGAAGCTGCTGCGTTCAGGGTGCTCCGGGACTCCCCTCGGGTGCACCCCGCGCGCGGGTTTTCAGGGTTGGGCTTCTTGCGAGGTTTTTTTTGCGGGCGCGCCCGCACTGTATAGATTGGCTGTGGAAGTAGACGCGCGTGTCGCCCGAGTGCCGCGGCGTGCCGTGCCTGGGCGCGTGCCGTGCCCGCGCGCCGTGCCGGGCCGTGCCCGAGTTCCGGGACGCGGGAAGGGTGCCGTGCCGTGCCCTGCGCGTGCCGTGCCTGAGGGTTTTTGTGAATGCGGCAGCGGGTGCCGCATGCCGGAGCGCAGGGCCCCGCGGGAAAAGGAGGCAGCGAGACAAGGATCGTGAGCTTTGCCTCGGCCCTGTCGCCCTTGTGGCGCAAGGCCCGTGCGATTGGCCCACTGGCTGGTCCTGGTCTCAGTGACCAGTATCTTTTGTTGAGCCAGCGGGTCCATGATTTGCCGGCCTTCAAGAAAATCTCCTCCTCAGGACCCCAGAGGGGCCCCCTTCTCTTGGGGACGACCTCTCGGGCGGATTTTATTCCCACCGGGCCACATGTACTGGGCTACTCGTTCTTGTCATGTCCCGGCGCCCCGTCCCGTGCCGTGCCGTGCCGTACCCGCGTGCCGCGCCCTGACGTGCCCGCGTGCCGTGCCGAGTGCGTGTCGTGCCGTGTGCCGTGTGCCGTGCGCGTGCCGAGCTCGAGTTCTGTTTGGGGTGCGGGCAGTGTGCTCTGCCCGCGTGCCGTGCCGTGCGCGGGCGTGGCCCGAGTCCCAAGAGTGCGAAGCATGTGCCGTGCCGTGCGCTTGCCAGACCGTGCCCGCGTGCCGTGCCGTGCTCGTGCCATGCCTGGATGTGAGACATGTCGATTCATGCGGCGTTGCTGCTTACGGTCTCCTATTCTGGTGCGAGAATGCGATGACTCAATGAGTGCATGTGCCACTGAGGCGGCGACGATCGTCCTCCTGCGGAATCTGTGGACGCAGGCGGAGGCTGATCGGAGTCCACGGGTGCCTGGGCCATGCTGTCCGCGGCCTCGTCCAGTCCGCCTGGCAAAAGGATTCGTTTCGTCCTTCTGCGGCATCCCTTCAGTCGCTTCCATTTCTTTTGCTCTCTGCTGGGTCCTGCGATCTTGTCCCTCCTGGCAGGTGGTC